GTTTTAGTGATGTTGAAGTAAGGTATTATCACTGGCTTTTTCTGATCCTTTTTATGGTGATCTCGTTAAAAAAGTCAAGTAGGTTTGTAGTGCAAGATGTTCTTTTCAGAAAGCCGTATTGTGACAAGTTGATATGGTTAGATTCTAGAAGGGAATCAGACATCTGGTTTTTAATCACCTTTTCCATAATCCTTGAGATGAACGGGGTTATGTTAACTGATCTGTAATTGCCATTACTAGTCTTGGCTCCTGACTTATGTTTCAGCTATACATAAGTAGTTTTCCATTTATCACGGTATGTCCCAGAATCTAATGAAAGGGTGAATGTTTTGAGTAATAAAACTGCCATATGCCGGCCAGCCTTTTGCAACTCATCGTACTACCACTTGTAGTGGTTATCGCGATGTATGGAGCTATAGGCATATTATTACTATTAAGAAGCCACTCCCTGAGGAGTTCACAAATCACCTGTGGATCACGGTTACATATACCTCTATGATCTAATTGGTTTATTAAAAAGTCTTTTGTATTTTTTCGCTTTCGCAGGATACTGCAAAGGTTTTGGGTTTCGGACGAGATATCAAGGGCCCTACTTTCTTCTACCGGTGCATTCGTTCGGTATCCTTCTTGAAGTGAAAGGAATAATGTATGTATCTGATTCAGTACATGAAATTCTTTCGAAACGAAGTACTTTTTCCTAGTCTTTTCAGTTTATGTCGAGTTCTCTTATCTCTATATATAAAGTTGTCTTCAGGCCGAGTTTGGTGGGCGCAATTGTTTCCTGAGCAGAACTGATAATCTTGTAAAATTCGTCGAGGGTTTGACACAGATTACTCCCAGTGAAAAGTCCTCCCAATCGGAGCATCTTATGAGTGTCTCGAGGAGCTCCCACTCAGCATTCTTGGTCTTTTTGTATTGGTAGCACTTCGATGTCACTTCGTGTGCACCCTCGAGAGCTACTAGAAGTGTTAGAGTGCAAAGAAATATGCAATTATCGCTGTTTGTAAATTTTTCTCCTACCTGTATGAACAATGACTCATGTTGTGATAAAGTTTCAGGTCAAGGGTGTTATTGTTTCGCGTGGGGGAGTACATGTATTGCTGCCAACCGTTTGTGTCAATGGCTTTTAGGAGTTTGTTATAGTTTGTGAGACCTGTGCATATTTTCCAGTCTACTGCAGGGAGGTTGAGGTTACCGCAGATGGCATTATGGATTCTATTCAGCACAACACGGTTATACCACCGATGGTCATTAGGTTCATCCACACTCAAAACATCTACTGGACTTTGACGTCACTCATTGAAAACTGAAGAGTAAACAATTTCATACTGGGTAATTTTGAGTGCTGACTGGATCCATCGATAGTGAGTTTTGCTTTTACAACAGTAAATTGACTTGCTTTATGATCACTTTGCTCAAGCTGATATATTTTCACAAGGGTTTGGCACTAGTAACAAGATGTATAACCTGTATGGCAAGCATGACATCATTACCGTATTGCATTCATTTCAAAATGAGTTATTTTGGTGCTCAGCTTATTTGATTTTATTTGAGGAAGTTGTATTATTGCACGATTTTCCTAGGAAACGCTAGTCTATCATGTTGATGATAACAATTTCTTTAGAGCTCTACTCTAGTTTATTCACAAAACTTCAATCCTGTGATTAAGTCGGATATATGATTAGGCTTTGTACCGTATCAACCAAGTTGTCAAGTATGTCAATGCATAGGAATTTATTTCTATCGGCTGTCGGTTGATAATATTTCAATAGAACTATTGATGGTAAGGGAAATCATCAATTCAACTAAACATCGTTTCCTTCTTGCATCTTTCTGAACTACATCAGTTGGCTAATCAGTTGATACACTAGACTACAGATAGCCGTTACTGGTTTATATAACGGCAGTGATTCTGTGAAATGGTGTATCAGTGAAGCTCATTATTTTTATTTGTCTCTTGGGTTCCTGATGGGAAGTACCGCTTCAGTATCAAGTCTCCATTCCATTCTTCTCTCTTCAATTTTGACGAATGATGTTGCTGTCTGTTCAACATGAAGTATATGACAGATTTGGTTTCCAGTGGACCAATGAAAATGAGTTATTTCGCCTTTTGATTCGGTGCATTACATGTATATGGATATGTATGAAACAGAATTTATTCTGGTTGAAAATCGTATTTTGAGTCATCACTATAATCATCATAATCATCGCTCAATATTTCATGGTTCAGTGAAGCGTAAGAAACTGGATGTGAAAGAAGGAAGCTAGTTATTCATGTTCACTTCAAATATATTCGGATTCAAGTATTGTTGTTGAATTTATGGATGTCTGATAGACCCTCCTATTTTCCTTGGTTCCCTATTTGCTGCCTGCTACACAATCGCAAGTTGTGTCATTTCACAAGTACATTTTAAATATCAGTGACTGCTAACTCTATCACAGGGAATTTAGACTGACATCAATCTAAGGCTAAAATAGTTGGTTGGCTAACAATTCACGCACCTCAGAGGAGACTGGGTGACTGCCTAACCAATTTAGTATGAGACAGTTCAACAGAACATCAAACACCTTGCTGAGCAAAATAGTCAGTTTTTCGGACAAAATTCCTTTGGATTGAAAATTTATTTTAATTTTTGAAGGGGAAATGCTCAAAATGCGATGCAATATACATAGGATCAATGTCACGCAAAGCTAGAATTAGAAGAAATGGAACACTAAACATCTTCCATCCAACCAACTCGAATTCCACTGGGGCTGGAAACGCTTGTAGTCACCATTTCCAATTAAACATTTGTGCATGCTTGATAAATGTTTCCTACTTTGAAACAGAGTGAAGAGTAGGTTTGCTCTAAACAGCAGTCGTCTATCAAGCAGTGCATATTGAAGGATAACTATTCGAAAGCGGCAAATCGATGCATGTAATTCGGTCTGATGAAAGATTCTACATTGCCCAGACAGCTTAGTAGTAACTTCTCTGACTGCAATAATGGAAGATGCATGTTTAATTTTCTCAGTAGATATGTATCCTCTTCAGCTTAAATATACGCATAGTTGACATCCGCTGTGTGCGGGGCTCCCTATTAATTGCCTTCATTCAATCAGCGCTTTTTGAAGTGCACAGTGTTGTTGAGTCTTCTTCACTTGTAAACGCGTTACAAACTGATCGGTCGAATCCGGTAGGCATTCGAAAGCAGACGACGTGGAATCGTTCACTCATCATTCACAAATCCATGATCTCAATATCTGTTGGATATTTACCGAAAAACGTAAATTTCTATAACGAATATCTGTTAATTAAATATTGCCTTTGTGATGATTAGAAGATGCAGTTTGAAGTGAACACTGAACTTCGGTTAACTCTCATCACGCCTTACATTCACATTTACAGACCATTCAGCATAACCTTCATTTGACACCAACATGGTTAAATGAATTCGGACAAATGAATTAGAAGATAAGGACAGTGAAGGTGATAATAAGAAAAGAAAATCTGGGAAAGTTTATATATTCTCAGTAGTGAATCCTTGTAGGTTTGCGAGTGCACTGTGTGTGTGTGTGTGTGCGTGTGTACAGGGAGAGAGTAGAATGAAATTATTGTCAACTAGTGAGCACAAACAGAGATGTTGTTTACATTTATGTGGGTGACCGGGAAGGAATTTATTGTAATCATATCTGTGTCGAAGTTGAAGGTGATGGGAGGCTACAGGGGACGAACAAACATCTTCTGAATACGTAGATTAAGTTTGGAAATTCTACCTGCAATGGCTTTTGCTATGCTGAGCAAGGAGAGGGGCACAAACATAGAGTATTGTGATGAGACATTGTAAATCACAGTAAATGTTGCCGTTTTCTCAATCTTATGTTCAATATCTTATCTACTAGATGGGCTAGTATTGAGCTTTTGACGGATTTCACCGTTCCTTTGCCTGCAACGCTGGACAGTGTTGAATGAAGCGATGATGGGCATGCCGAGTGATAACTATCTCCTAAGGAGCAGTCAAATTCACAAATGAAAACAGATGTGGCCAGATTCACAAGCATATCCTTCAACTGCATTGGCATCATACAGCAAGTAGTGAATTTCAAATATAGTGTGTCGGCAATGAAGGTTTTTGTCTGTCAAGTTTCTGAGTTTCAGTGTCAGTGTTTCTGCAGCTACATCTCATTTGAACGCTGAAGTTAGATAAAATCGTCTCTTCGGCACCATTTGAAGGTGCTATTCACCAACTATTTTCCTTCTTACAGTCTTTACCAACATTCCAGGATAGCCAGCATCGTATAGGCAGCTCTCTATTATTCTAAATTCACCGCTCGAAGTGTCAGCCATGTAAATCTTACTGGCTCAAAACATCAGTGTACGGAGTGAATTCCACTTGTATGCAAGAGGTAGAGATGATCAGAAATATGTATACTGACCAACATATTTCAGATGAACTCCTATTCCTACATACGTGAAAATTCATTGAGATTCAAATCAGTGTGCTTGTCACTATTTGCTCTGCTGACATCTGCAAGCTGAGCCGTATTCTGTCACGCTGACAGAATATCTGACTTCGGTCTGTAACGCTTTGGTTCCCTTGGAAATCTTTGAACACTATTCACATGTTCACATATGTGCTACTGTTATTGTGTGAAGCGTGACTTGTAACACCCACGTTTAGCAACCACTCATTTCTTCAGACAGTCTACTCATTCTCCTATGATATTCATTTTGGCATATTGTGCAGGTCATTGTCTCCGGTCATGATCTTCTGAGACAGTTTTCATAACATCAAATATGTTCCGATATCTTCATCTAGAAGATGCGTACAATAACGTTTCATAAACTGTCTGCGGTTTATAACTCCTTGAGCAACTCATGATTTCTTACAGCTGCTCCACTTACAACCAGCTCCTAGCATTACTCGCTGATTATCTACATCAACTCACTGCCCATCATCTTTTCCAGCTATATCAGTAACCGAACACATCTCTCATATGCAACAACTAATGAATGAAGCCTAACATTGAAGATGTGTCGTGTTCAATTTTCATTACATTCAATGAAGGAAAGTGGATTTAGGCGATTCAGCCTAGTTATCAAAATCACATTTTTTAATATTCATAGAATGAAATTCAATCACTGGTAACTAGCAGTAACCAAATATTTGGATTCAACCACCGAATAATAAATGAGACCATCAAAGAAACACTATGCATAGATTATTCAAGTTATGTAGTTCAGTTGTGTGACAACAGAAAGTGTTTGTTAATTTTCTGAGTACAAACATTTTCATGATGACACACACACACACACACACACACACACACACACACGGAAAATAGTAAGGTGAAGAGTCAATGGAGGGTGATTTGAATATCTGGATAACCCAAGTTATTGGAAGTACTCAGTGTACTGTTTATTCCCGCGTAACATAGAGTTATTGATAAGCAAAGTAACATTTCTTGAAACCATAATATGTATGCGAAGAATAATATAACAGAGAACGTTGGATCGAAAGAGCCATATCTCTCAGGTAATCGATGGTCATGAAGATACTCTGAAATTGAAGAAGTAAATCTCATTGTCAACAGTACCAAAAGTTTGATAATGTAGAGCAAAGTTTATTCTGTGCATCATTCTATTGAATATGGTGACCGGCTGACCTTTATCCTCAACCTGCAGTCTCTGTGTGTTCTGCATACCACATATACATACATTCCCTGTGATGCAAAAGCATCCTCAACAGAAGTGAATTGCATAAAATGAAGAGGTGTACACTGCTGAAATACTTTCGTAATTAGCACCTTGAAAAACCAACCTCGCCTGGTTAACTAGTTTACTAGTTACTAGCCGGTCCTAAGCCCGGGTAAAGAGGGAAGGTTGGGCATAGGGCTAGCAACCCTACCCCGTAAAACAAATCTAACCGCTAAAGAAACTTCAAAGCACAAACAAAATATAAAAAATGAAAACAAACTTATTCCCCGCTGGAATCGGAGAGGCGAAATGACGCCAGTTGGTGAAAGCCTTCGGGAAGCCAATTGGCCGATGTGTCTTCTCTCGATGAAAGCGAAAGTAAACGTGGGGACATGGAATGTCCGCACGATGTTTGAACCCAGTAAGGCAGCCCAGATTGCAAAGGAGATGAGAAGGTATAACATCGAAGTGCTTGGGATTTGCGAAAGCAGATGGAATGGGAGTGGACTCTCCAAACTGTCAACGGGAGAATCAATAATCTACTCCGGTCACCCAGACGCCAACCACGAGCACACTGAGGGAGTGGCTATCATGATGTCCTCAAGAGCATCGAAGGCTCTCATGCAGTGGGAACCAATCTCCTCCAGGATCATGTCAGCAAGATTCAACTCAAAAGGAAGAAAGGTCACAATCATACAATGTTATGCACCTACAAATAATGCAGAGCAAGAGAAAAAGGAGGAATTCTACAGACAACTTCAGTCAACACTGGACAAGACGTCAGTTGGCGATATCAAAATTCTAATGGGCGACATGAATGCCAAACTGGGAGGGGACAACACGGGAAGAGAACTAACCATGGGTCGAGAGGCGCTAGGTGAAATGAATGAGAATGGAGAATTGTTTGCAGAATTCTGTGCATTCAACGATTTGGTGATTGGAGGCAGTGTGTTCAGGCACAAGGATATCCACAAAGCGACATGGATTTCACCAGATGGACACACTAAAAATCAAATCGACTTTATCTCAATCTCAAGAAAATGGAGACGCAGTCTACTTAACACAAGGTCAAGAAGAGGAGCAGATGTAGGTTCAGACCACTATCTAGTGCAAGGAACCTTCGAAATCAAGTTAAAAGCCTTCAAGGAAGCTGGTGATAGACCTCAATTCAAGTACAACACTCGGAAACTGAAGGATGAAACTACAAAGGAGATCTTCAAAGCAGCCATCAAGACAAAATGGGAGACGTCGAGGGACATCCCTGAAGAAACCTGTGTAGAAGAACACTGGAAGTCTTTGAAAGCTATGTGGAAAGAAACCTGCACAACAGTATTAGGAAGGAAGAAGAAAGAAGACAAGGAATGGATCTCGACGGATACCTGGAAGCTGATAGAGGAGAGGAGGATGGTGAAGCAGAAGATAAACCAGTGCAAGGATGCTCAACGACAAGAGGAACTGAGCACAATGTATAAAACACTGGATAAAGAAGTGAAGAAGAGTGCACGCAAAGACAAACGACACTTCTACGACACACTGGCAAGTGAAGCAGAACAGGCTGCAGGTAAGAGAGACCTGACGACATTGTATCAAATAACCAGGTTGCTATCAGGGAAGAGACCAACACAGATGAAACCAATAAAAGATGAAGAAGGAAATTTAATTACAAAAGAAGAGAAACAGAGGAAACGATGGGCCGACCACTTCAAGAAGCTCTTGAATCGACCACCACCTGCACTTCGTCCAGAAATACCACCTGCAGCCGCTGAATTACAAGTGAACATAAATCCCCCAACGAAAATGGAAGTCCTGAACGCCATAAAGCTACTGAAATGCGGGAAAGCAGCAGGACCAGATGGAATACCGCCAGAAGCACTGAGAACAGATGCAGAGACAACAGCGGACATGCTCACACCACTATTGCAGAAGGTGTGGAGGGAAGAGAAGGTACCTGACGATTGGAAGAAGGGTTACCTTGTCAAACTGCCGAAGAAGGGAGACCTCAGTGCTTGCAAGAACTGGCGAGGAATCACTCTCCTATCCACCCCAAGTAAAATATTAAGCCGCATCATCCTGGAGAGGCTTAAAGACGCACTGGATTCAAAACTGCGACCGGAACAGGCAGGCTTCAGGAAGTACAAATCATGTGCTGACCAAATTGCAACGCTTCGTATCATCATAGAACAGAGCGTAGAATGGCAATCAGCTCTATACCTCAACTTCATCGACTTTGAGAAGGCCTTTGACAGCGTCGACCGAGAAGTAATTTGGAAACTGCTTCAATACTACGGAGTACCGCAAACCTTTATCCGCCTCATTCAACAACTATATGAAGATGCCACATGCCAAGTAATCCACAATGGGAAGCTCAGTGATGCCTTTGAAGTGAAGACAGGAGTGAAACAAGGTTGCCTACTATCCCCCATGATATTCCTAATTGTGGTGGACTGGATCATGCAGCAAACAGTAGGCAGCGAGAAGAGGGGGATACACTGGACGACGGAAAAGAACCTAGAAGACTTGGATTTCGCCGATGACTTATGCCTAATGTCACATAAACTTGAAGATCTGCAGGCAAAAACTAACAAGTTGACAGAGGAGGCAGCTAAGACGGGACTTCAGGTGAATATAGAGAAGACAGAAGTGATGAAGATACCGCACCACCACCATCAACAACAACAACAAACTCCAATCACCGTCAACGGTAGAAACTTGAAGGAAGTAACCTCCTTCACTTATCTAGGAAGCACTGTTTCAACTACAGGCGGGACGGACGAGGACGTCAAAGTCAGAATCGGAAAAGCAAGACAGGCATTCATTAGCCTGAAACCAGTGTGGAGATCTTCTGCACTCAGCATGCGGAACAAGATACGGATTTTCAACACCAACGTCAAGTCAGTGCTCTTGTATGGCTCAGAGACTTGGCGCGTCACGAAAGGCATTTCCAATAAACTACAGACATTCATCAACAACTGCTTACGCTCGCTGCTGAAGATCAGATGGCCAGAAAAAATAAGCAACAAGGAACTCTGGGAACGAACCAACCAAGAACCTATCACGCAACAAATATGCAGGAAGAAGTGGAGATGGATTGGGCATACACTGAGAAGGCCGACTGAGGACATCACGCGTCAGGCCCTCGAGTGGAATCCCCATGGGAAGCGACGAGTTGGACGTCCGAGGGTGACATGGAGGAGGTCGTGCGAGGAGGAAATGAGAGCTTCTGGGCTGTCGTGGAACCAGGTTCAAAAGATCTCAGAGAACAGAGGTCACTGGAGGCGTGCTACTGAAGCCCTATGTTCCACTAGGAACCCAAGGGACTAATAATAATAATAATAATAATAATACCTTGAAAAACCACATTCCACAAGTCAAATGATCATTTCACTTATACACAGTATGAAACTTACTATGGCTAATGCAACGGTCAAGGATATACCAACTGCCGTCATGAGTTGTGGCTGCAGAAAAAAAAATAATTTTTGGCATTAAGAATTTTTGTATTAACACAGTACATGGTTGAAAGATGTACAGAAAAGCAAATTATCACTCACCACTCCACTATGAACTGCTGTCTGCAGCTCATCTCGTTCAACACACCACCGTTGAACGCACAGACAAAACGTGGTTGCACCTCATTAACAAAATTCCGTCAACCATTCCATGATTAAATCAATGGAATCTGTTATACACAAGGCTTCCTGCAACATACAAAATGAGCAGGATATTCTTGTTGCTCATGGAAACTGACCTGTCACGTAAATCATATGCAAAATTAGATGGTATATAGCATGCACTCACTGTGCAGTCTGTCTAAATATCGCCAACCCACACTGAATATCACAATTCCAAGTATATTCACCTCACTGGAATGACTTCTGTGAAAATAAAGGCTGTTTTCACTTTCGTAGAACAACTACAATTCAAACATGATTAAACTCATCAGCATGAACACCTGAAATGGATTCCACTGGCTAGTGAGAAGGATTTCTAAAACACAGACAACCTTGTTCTCAGGTTTCACCAATGAAATGGTGTTGTCTAGATACTACCCTCCACTCTAAGGATGATTTCATAAGTGTGAGTAACAGAATAATTGGGTGGGGTCAGAATGAACATGCTCCTCGAATGTTCCACAATTACATCATTGATTGGATTGACGAACTACACGCAAGGAGAAGACTTGATACACATGCGAGTCTGATGGTGCACTGCTGTTAAGAGATAAAGCGTCACCACCTACCAACACTTAACTTCCAGTCAGCCACCTACATCATTCGAAGCAAATGAAAGCAAGAAGTGGTTGAATCAACACCTCCGGGTGTGGTGAATGCAATACAGTTATATTACTGAGACGTCTAATTCCATAGTCAAGAGCATGAGATCTAAGCAGGATATTTTAAAAGCCAATTAGGTTAACTGTATGGTAGACTGTGTCAGATTTATCGACTTCACATAATAATCTGTGAGGCGGAAGGAAATTTCGTGTGACTTTTCAACATCCACTGCAATACTCAGTGACTTACTTCGTTCTCCTAAACCTGAACGGAAGAATACACAACTTTTCCAGCTGAATTCACACTGACACTCGAATACACCCTTCGATCAACAGAGAACTGACGAAATTCGATGAGATATTTGATCACCTAGTGAGTCTGGAAAACGCGTCGATTGAAACTGAATTCCTGGAAACTGTCAGAGAATCATGCATATTTAAGACAGAATGAGAAGATTGTACATGACATCAGAGAAAAGGGGATCTGATATCAAAACTGGTGTCAAATGTGACATCCACTCTTCAAATACTCCAAGCAAAACACAATAACCATTGAACACACTGAAATTTTGTAAACTACAACACACAAATGTAGAAAACTTACATGAAGGGGTATGAAGCTGGCAGCTACCCCACCGACAAGCAAAAATCCGACCAATATCCACATGAATACCTTCCATCCTTTACCACTCAGATTCTTCGATTTGAGACCTGCAATCGCAGCGGTCATGAAAATCACAGCCGTCATGCTAAGCACAATGAGGGCTTCCGACCAATTCAGTTCAGTTAATAGTACTGCTGCACCAGCAGAAAGTGAATAAACCTGAAAGTCAATCAACACAGCAATGAATGAAATTCATCAGTCGTGAGTATTACACAGGAACTGAGTTGTAAATATCTGCTCAATTGTAGCGGTATGAATGATTGGAGTTTGGAATAGTGAGAGGAAGTGAAAGATTCTGCAGAATGTGTGTGGATGGTTGTGAGATCGGTCACTACGATTGTCTTGAAGAGCCCCATATAGAACCACATCAGAATAAGTATTACTATGGTTTTCACAATAACTGTTACACAATGCAGATATTCAAATTTTTCATCAGTTCACTATGCTACTTGTATGGCTGTTGAGAATGAAATCAATACGACAGGAGTCTTCTCCGATATCCCCTGTTCCCCAGTGGTGCACATGCAATATCTGTATTCTCTCAATAATGAGGGGATAAGAATTAGCGTGTAGCAATCAGCATATGTGCTTACTATGACAATTTTCATAGGAATTAAATTACTGCAGAATAAACTGTGAAGGTACTTAGGATAAGAGATATGGTTAGATAGAGATCTTATGTCAGTCCACTTTCACTCAACATACACCAATTGTGTGAAGAGCATGAGTGACTCCACTAACTACTCTCTATTTTATGAAGTCGATTGATGGTCACAACGATCCACATTATCAGTCTAGCCCACACTACTGACATGAAGATCATGTCGCTCTCAACATACCGCCTATTTCGATACAATGATGCGTGCAGTGTGGCCAGATTATCAGTAGTTAAAATAGAGATTTCATGCACTAACACAAACGGCAGGTCAATACAAAGTTCGTTCACCCAAATCTCAAGTATGTTGTCTTAAGTAAGTACATTGACAATGGTGATTAATAAACTGGCTAATCATTGTTCTCCTTCAACCTGATGACCGAGTAGATGTGATGCATAAGGAAGTAACTGAGAGCATAGTTTGACTTTTATTTCACCATGAGAAATATTTTTGTGTTGAAGAAATTCACTGTTGCATTGATTCATGATAACTGAAAACGAAAACTACCAAATTACTACCTTCATTTGGAACTAGTGAGATGAAAGTTTTAGAGTGGACAACAGCAGAACTACATTTCTCGGTGTGAGGCTGTATTATTATTATAATTTCTCCTCCGGCTGCTAGTGAAACACAGAGCTTCAGTAGCACATCACCGTCACCATTTCACTCTCTTCTCTGCAGTCTTTTCAGCCTGGCTTGATGACTGCCCAGAAGCTTTCATTTCCTCCTTTTTGTTATTGGTTGGTTGGTATATTCACCACCTCTGTCTTCTCTACATTCAATGAAGTCCTGTCTACTCTACCCTACCTCTTCTGACAACCTGTCAGTTTTCGCCTGTAGATCTTCGAGCTTCTGCGATGTTAGAAATCAGACATGAATCATCATCCACGAAATCTAAATCTTCTTCTGGGGTCTTGTCATCAGTCCACCCATCCTATGCCCTTCTTCTCACACCTCCTCACAGTTTCTTACATACTCCAGTCAACTACAATCAAGAAGATCATCGGTGATAGTAGGCCGCAACCTTGTCTTACTCCTTCCTGTCTCACTTCAAAGAGGTCACTCAGCTTTCCATTGTGAATCACTTGCCATGCAGCACATTCATATACCTGTTCAATGAGCTTGATAAATGATTGTGGAACTGAAACTGTAGTATTGAAGCAGCTGCCTACCAAATTACTACTCGGTCAACACCTCGATCGAACGCCTCTTCAAAGTCGATGAATTTGAGGTTGAGTTGAGTTGACTTGGATTCTATGTTGTGTTCTATGATGATGCATAGTGTAGCGTAGGGTAGGGTATCAATTTGATGCGAACATGATTTTCTCTTGCTTAAGCCAACTAGCCATCCAGTCAGCCTGTTGCGGTCGTAGTTTTGAATGTAGAGCATTTTTTGTGCTCATTGTCCAAGATGATGTGGCTCAATATTTTGCTTGGTGAGGACAGGAGTAGAGCATGATTCTGCTGCAGTTCTTGTTCTAGCCAAGACTTAGGTCACCTTTCTTTGGGTGGTTGACGATTTAGCCATTCTTCCAATCAATAGTCAGGTACCTTCCCTTCCTGCCTTCCTTACAAACCTTGTACGATGGAGGTGTGAGCAGGTCCGATGCTCTCTCTGCATATGTTTTCAATGCTTCTCGCGGAATTCTATTTAGTCCTGCTGGTTTCCTAGATTTCACTATCTTTATGGCGTTCAGCGCTTCACTCATGATTTGTCGGAGGGGATGTGTTCACTGATAGTCCTATGGCTGGGCAGCAAGTGGTATTTCTGGACGAGTTGAAGGCAGTGGTGTTGGTGATGGTGGTTGATTCAAGAGACTTTTGAAGTGGTCAGCCCATCGTTTTCTTTGTTTCTTCTCTTTGGCGGTAACTACCTTACCCAAAGGCCTTCACCAACCAGCGTCATTTCCTCTCGCCAATTCTAGAGGGGAATAAGTTTGTTTTCATTTTTTATATTTTCCGTGTGGTTTGAAGTTTCTTTAGCGATTGGATTGGTTTTCTGGGGTAGAGTTTCCAGCCCGAGGCCCAACCTGCACCCTTTATCCCGGCTTAGAACCAGCTAGTAAGCCTGTGAACTTGTTGACTGGGCCACTGTAATCAACTGCAATAATCATCTCTATCTCTAAAAAACTAAAATTATTCCTGACACATATAAATAATATGTTTTCAGAGAAAACGTGTAAACTTACTGCTAATAAGGTGACGGAGACATTGGCAGGAAAACTATCCCTCAGTTTCGTGACAAAAGTTAATAGAAGAGTTACGATGTCGGCCAGTATCCTGAAATCAAAGTGAGAAATTCGCTTGTCATCACTCGGGTTAACTATAATACACAATGAGATGGGGAGAAAGCCAAAGTATTTCGGGAGTATCATGGTGAATACCATGATATGAATGAACTATATGGATGCATTCATGTCTGAATAGAATATTGTCCAGCTATTACAACGTCTGAAGGGCCGAAACGCAATTTATTGTTGATCAACTCAAAATAGTCACTTCAACACGATGTACATAATGCAAGTATGTTGTTCATTGAGGAAAGGCGCTGGCAAATATTGTGAATATTGGAACTGTCTTGATTGTCCCATACTGTGGAGTGACCACTTCCGCACTCACTCTATGCAAATAATCAAAATGTCTTCATTCTCCAGTTTCCAGCTAAGCTAGTCCAATCAACACAGTACACAGTGAGGCATCAATATTCCCAGGTTTAGAGTTGAGAACATCTGATCGACCCATTCCAACGTTCTAATCATTCGTTTAACATCTCTTTGTGTATTCACGTCAAATGATAGTGATTATAAAGAGGCAGTACAGTTTGTCAACTCACATCAATATTCAATCAACTTACAGTATTACAGTCGGGATGAGGTTGTTTCCAATTTGACTGCTTGCACTGTGATAAGATGAACTGGAATAAAGAAAGGGATATTGTGCAAGATTACTTGTCTACACTGACGTGAGTGGCGATAACCATCCACAAATCATTCATTGACAACAGCTGAATGTCAAGAGAAATTTGTGAAGATAACTTGCTCACTTGCATCAATATAGATCCGAAAATCGTATGTGTACCTGTTTATTTCGTCTGTGAGAGGTCCTGTGTATGTGGGGGTGGTATCCCCGATGAATGAAAAATTGGAAATCTAGAGGGGAAATGAAATCAAGTACATATTTTATTACATAATAACGTCTCTTGTTAACAGATAAACAAACAACAAAAGCATATGACTGTGATCATATGAAATCAAACATTCTGAAGCATTTATCAGTATATTCAGGTGTGATTGTTTGAGGAAAATGAGACGAATATTGAACATGAAAGCATTCTGCAGGTAATTACAGGTTTCAGAGGCTTTCTACTTAAGGTCAGTGGAATGCACACCAGCGAAATGAAGTGGATTTATTAGCCACTGCAAGTGGTTATTGTTCCACATACAAACACTTTCTAACAAATATCACGCATGCTAACGTGTATCATTTGCAGATCCCCACTCAGTAGTGTGGACGGTTTTCAGAGTGAGTCTCAGATATTGTCAGAAAGTGAAGAAACTCTTGCCAACCTATCAACTTATTCAGACATCAAACTATTGAATGAGGCCAACAATATCAGTCCGGCTTCAAATCTCTATACATGTCAACATAGTTATCATGTTGACTACACTGTGATTGAGATGCAGGAACGGGGTGTGGAAATTCACAATAAATGTTCGTGTAAATTTTACACTGAGAAACATGATGTAGAATTCGTTGTGTTATGAAAAATCCACACATACTGCAGGTAATTGTTACTCCGACAATGGGATTAGTTGACGGCTAGTAATGTTCGCATGGTGGATGTTGTGGTAGTGAGTGTAGGAGTCTCATGCCTGATCGTAATACACATAATTCCTCAATGTACGCACCATGTATACTTGAATGAGTGAATCACACAACTGTGTAAGACAATAAAACTCATGAAATTACCAAACAACATAAACTCACACGAACTCGTTCACTCTTTCTCACAAATGAACAAATTCGAGTAGTCGACAACTAGTAATATACAGCAGAAAAGGTAGGCGTAACATCGATTAATTATTGAAGTGGACTTCAACCCATCAACCAGTTTTTTCTCAATCAGAAAAACAGTCAACTGACTTCATCAAATGTGATATCTTTTCATCTATTCACATGTACATGAATGTTGTGCATGAGCATCCTGACTACCATAGACTCAGATGGGATTCATGAATGGTGATTGGACAAAAGTGTTGCACGTTGCACATATGTACGAATTCTTGTGTTCATTTTTGGCAGCACTTTTACAATGAATTTCAAAGTGTGCGAGTGAATGAAAGATGATCTGATTTTCAGTGATGTGGAATCTGAAGAGTAATCTTATGGAAGAAATGAGCAGAGTGAAGGAGACTGAAATATTGACAGTTTGACATTGGTTGGAGAAGGAATGGAAGCATGGAAGCACTTGACAAGTATTTAGTAGTGCACATCGAAGGCCTGGTGCGACATCAAGCCTGACATCACCACTCATAGTTAGCAAACACTAAAGCACTTCACCACTTCACAACACTTACCTTAAATGAAACTGCTTCCATAGAAGGATGCATATTTGGTGTATCAATTCCCTCGTCGCAACACGACTGGCCCTGATTTCTTCTCTGATCCCACTACAGACATCAGAATTCTCAAATCAGTTAAACAATAGAGCGAATGTTACATCATGCTTTAATTGTAATGAAATGGTTCATTGTCAAGCAATGCACCAGCGTGTAGATCCTCAATCCTTATTCCCTTGTTTCTTGCCTAATCTTTATCACGTGAATATGATGCTGACGGAAGTTCTCTCATTATATCTGATGAGTAGTTATTGCGATGAAGTAGATTCAACGTCTGCACATTTTACTTGTATAATGGGAAGACATGAGCCTATACTTTGTTTGCATGATGAGTGGTTGGGGCGATGATGTTTAGACACGTTTCCTCTCTGTTCATAATTCGAATAATTACTCAATATATTCATCACATATACCTGAGTACGTGATAAACCACTTTAACAGTCAAACCCATGAAACCAACCGTCAGAAGTTTTAATATACTCACTCATATGGTCATATGGCTATGGAAGAAAAATGAGTATTCGACAATGGAGTGTGCACAGTGAAAAGCATAGATGTAAGTGGGTATGCGTATTTGAAGAGTGGTGATTGAGTTCTGTAATCGATCTCAACCAATACAGCAGCTTTTTACAGCCAAACAAAAAATACTCAATCGACTTCATCATGTGTGACACTTTTTATTCATCTGAATGTTATGCATGTCCATCATCACCGCCACACATTCAGAAGTGATTCATCAAGGGTGGTTGTGGAAGTTTGCTAAGCATTCTGTGTGTGCAAATTCATGTCTTCATTTCTGACACCATTTTGGTGTTGAGTTTCAAACTGCATGATTAAATGCACGATGGTCTCATCTCCAGTGACATAGAATCCACAGAGAAATATGATGTATGATAACTTGATGGATGTTCGTTCTCCTGCATGAAGGATTCTGTGTTGTCAAATTGTTGAACAAAGATACTATCTATATATGGTGCATTCTGTTTGTGTGAGAGAGAGAGTGAGGCATGTCTGATAAACAGACTGAGATTTGTATGTTCACATGTGTTGATGGTGATTATGTAAGTATGTGATGGTGGGTTGAGATTAGGTCAAACTACGTTGCACTTCCTCATTCCCTCCTATTCAAACTATTTTCATTCCATTTTACATGAAGATATTATGCTACGAGACGTTGTTCATAACTTCTGAAACCTTTCTGAATAATTTCGATATTGTCAAAACTAACATTTTGATTTGAAGTTAGGTCGCGCATACAGCAATGGGTGAAGTATTCCTCAGTGTTTTAGGCTTGAATGGATTTCTCCGGAACCAGATGGGAGCCTTTCAATATTCACTTTCTTCTGATTTGCATTTCACGTCAAATTTATTCTATGCACACTGCATTGCAGTCTGAGCATTTTGTTTTATGAACGTAATGAGATTGTGATCCAGACGGATCTCGTCCTTCAATTGGACTAATTTGCTCCAAATACCATCAAACCATCAAACTCAAACATCCTTTGCGTGTGTATAAATCTCTTCAGATAACAGAAAATGATTCAGTGTTGTCATTTAGCCGATTCAGGAGCAATTTATGCGAAGGCCTAATCGTCTTTTTCATGTAATCATCAATGTAATGAGATGTGGCTACCAAAAGGCTGTGGGAATAAATATTGTGTCAGGGAACCAAAACAACACAATGAAGTTCGTTTCTTAAACAGTGGATGAATAATTGAGAAATGTTTTTGTGATGTAATCCATGATAAATCTTGTGCAGACAAAACGATTGGGGTAGTTGATTGATGTGACGATGATGACGTTCGTGAATTGGTGACATTTAGTAGGTTATAGAGATGAGACACAGAGATACGATCCCCACAACATCTTCAAAACTCATGCTGTCAGATCTGGTCATAGGCATCAGCAAAATGAGAAGCAGACCCCAGATGGAGTTAAGCTCAGTATATCTTTACGCAATAGCACAGATCACAGACAATGAATCATCCGAATTCACCAAGCTTTTGGAATGACGGAAAAGATTTGTAGTTGAAGGTAGGAATGGCAGTGTCTCGATGTAGTGTTGAGAGGTTTCCTTTGAGCATCTTGGCAGTCTCATGATGAAACAAACTTTCACCACGAAATATCCAGGCACATAACACATAGAACCACCATCGACTGCAGCACCTCACCATCATTTGAAATCAACCCCTGTATTCTGTATTGCTCAGAGTACTTGTAGTCTTTGTGTGTAAGCATAAGAGGTGAAGTGTTGGGCATTCGGTGCCTCATGTTCTCTAGCAAATAATTAACACTGAACACAAGTCTCTTTCCATGTCAAAATCCGCCTAATGAATGAGCAGCGTGTATTTGAACATGAAGACAGAGATTGTAATGAAGGGAGTAAAGTAGGAAACAGTCCTCATTTCCTGTCAATTCATGTTCAGTGAAGTAACCACCACATTTGCTATTAGTATGAAGCTGCACTTACAGAATGTGTGTGCGCATTCCCGATCACTTAGTTTATGAAACGTGTCTCACTAGAAGTAGAGTGTGTAATGTTGACCAATTGTCTGTTGCAACTACAAATCATGATAGTTTATCTGCAGTATGGGAAGCTGATAGAGAATGTAACACAAATCGTACGTGCTTTGTTGGTTGGACAGTTCATCTATTTCGACTCATCCATATCACAGTGAACGGAGCAAACTGATGGAGATAAACTGTGTCCAACCTGGCATCATGTTCGTGTTTCCTTCCATATGATTCACATGCAGAGTGTTAATCTAATCAGTGTGGACTGATGTTCTGAGAACCCAGAACTCAACTAATTCATGAATTGGTTTGAAGTGAAGGAAAATCTGCTTGATTTCCAGTGTCATGACATGTTTGTTAATAATGGTGAACGATCTTAGGGTTGTAGACTCAAACATGTTGTGCAGTTTGTCAGTGTAACGGAGAAGAATCAGGTAAATGCTTAAAAGAAAAGATTGAGAAATCATAGTCGCTCATTCATACTGCAAACATCTTTCAGTGGATGTACATATCACGGTAAGTATCAAGGAGATTTATTCTGAAGGAGACAATCGTTCCCTTACATACCTGGCCACGGTACTGACAATGGGAACTGTCTGATGTTTTGAAATACACGGAAGATGCTGTCACCATCAGTTCAGTGTTGATGAGATAGTTTCTGTGTCTGTTTTCCAGACTTCTCGGTGAACACCAAGTTTGTCTGTTGACATTTCCGCTCAATCACATTTCATTGTCTTTATCCGAATTCAACTGAAATTTGTCTATTTATTATTTAACTACTCTTAGGAGTTTCGGTGTAGTTTTGAATTGTGAAAATGTGTATTCTTCATGCTTATATCATCCATCATTTAAAGAAAGCAGTTGATATTGAACATATTTGTGAAAGCAAATTAGCTACGAATGTGAATGTATAGTCTTGAAAATGAAATCTGCCAAAAGAGTCTCTTCACCTAGTGACTTCTGCTTGTTGTTCGTATATTCTCGATTGGTATTTCTCTTCTAATGAAATGACTGATTGTTGAAGCATTCGCATTTAGTTATCTTGTCATTTGGTTATGTGAGTGATGAAAGTACGTTTCATGTTTACCTACATTGAGAAGTCTGGCTGACCAGGAACCAGTTTATCCAACATTTAAACTTACATTATTCACAGGTGAAAAGTTTGCCACAGATCCAGCAATGTATGTGTCTGTATATGAAATGCATATTCACTGGTCAGCACTGTAAATGTGAGTCGTATTTTGTTCTTCATGTTGAGCTGAAGGCTTCATTTAGATTCGGGTTATAGTCGTTATTTATGTCAGTATGGTTATGCAAAATAATTTTGATGTACTAAACATTATGCTTTTTGTAGATGCCCCTTAGGAATACTGTGTCATTGATGTCAATGCCGACTGTATGCTCAGAAAGATGGTCGAATTGTTTTACTATGCTGAACTTGTTCCCATGAAGTCAAGTGTACTTCACATATATGCAAAGGCAAAAAAGTTTCACTGAGGGAGCCGAACGTTCCTGAATTCATATGAGTAGTGAGTGCATTTTGTCTTTATGATCCCAAAGAACTTGCTTCAGGCATCGTCAGTAATCAAGACTTAACTCACAGCCTTGTCCTACAGTCTTCCTCATGGAATCTTCATTCGAACACTCGATGCATTTTCTCACTCAGGTGACTGCCTACTTTAATCTGGTTAGCTGCTGAAATTGTCTCAGTTCACGACATCTAAACTGCATACTCAATTATTCAGTCTATTAGTGTTGAATTCCTACTAATGACTTTTGCTTATCCTTGATGTCTACTTCAGTTTCAGCGTACACATGCACATGAGTACTGATTGCACACTAGAAGTAACTAGGTGGGAATATAAGGTGCCTCACTGGTGATGATTCCTGAAACTCAAATATCTTGATTTGAAATCTCAAGAAATC